AGATAGATAGATAGATAGATAGATAGATAGATAGATAGATAGATAGACAGATAATGTTAGCATATAGGCAGGCTGCTTCTGGGTTGCCTAGTAACCTATGATGTCATCATGTGTCACCCTCCAGTTGTGTGGCAGACACAGTAGGCAGTTCTTCTGTGCATGAGATAGAAAAGGACCAACCCACCACTTCATTGCCCTCTTGCTCTCCTCTCTTGCACTTTCTCTGTCTCACTTTCTTTCCAGGGCCACTCCCCACGCCCACCATGTCTTTCTCTGTCCTTCCCCCTCTCACTCTGCCTCCATCCAATAAAACTCTTTCACATCATATCTGTCGTATGTGACCTTTTTAAATAAATAACAGATAGATAGATAGATAGATAGATAGATAGATAGATAGATAGATAGAGTCATGAACTTGAGAGCGAGTTAGGGGGCTGGAAATGAAGAGAGTCGAGGGCTGGAAATGATATAAATAGAATACTCATATGAAAGTCTCAATTATTTAATTAAAAATAAAGGATCCTATAAGCATTATTAAATTTTTTGAATGCTTAAATAGAACTGTGTCCAATATATTAAAACATTATATGGTAGTTTACCAATTGCACACCTTGGTTGGTGGTGGTACTGAAAGAACACTGAACACGCAGAACATGAGAACCGCAAGGGTTCTGTGTAACCAGCTGTGCAAGCAGATGTACATTCATCTATCCGACATACACTGTCCTTCTCTATCTCCCCTAGTGTTGTAGAGATGTTAGGGGATACAACTAGAAACAAGTAAAAATGTTCTCTGTTTTCACAGAGCTTACAGCTTGGAGGAGAAACCCAGAAGTTAAACAAATTACCTCACAAATGATAGACTTGGTAAAGAAAAGTCTTAGCAATTTCTAAGGAGAAATCTGGAGATTATTAAAAAAAAGTAATAATAATAGAGAAAACAGGTATTGTCATGAACTCAAAGAGGAGCCTGGGGGGGGGGGTTGGGGAGTGAAAACTAAGCTGTTGTTTGAAAAATGATAGCAGACACGAAAGTTTGCACAGGGAAACTAGTGTCCCAGTAAAAGAAATTCCTTCACCCATTTAGTCATCATTTTTCTTGGGTGATTTTAAAAGATTTCTTTGTATTGCCACTACATTTGAGTATGTGTGCAAGTGTGTACACTGGGGAGCATTCTCAGAGGTCAGAAGAGAGTCAGATCCTTTGGAGCTAGAGTTAGAGGTGCTTGGGAGCCACCCAATATGGATGCTGGAGTCCTTAAGTCTGGTCCTCATGACAAAGCTGTGAGTTGCCTAGTTTTAGGTCAACTTGACACAGTCTAGAGTCATCTGAGAGGAGGGAACCCCTGCTGAGGAAATGTCTCTCTAAGACTGGGCTGGAGACAGGCCTGTAGGGCCTGTTGTTAAATGATTGATGGGGGAGGGCCCAGTACATTGCAGGTGATGCCATCCCTAGGGTGGTGGTCCTGGGTTCTATAAGAGAGTAGGCTGAATAAAAAATGAGGAGCAAGAGAGTAAACACCCACCTACCATGGCCTTTGCATCTGCCCCTGACTCCAGGTTCCTGCCCTGTTTGAGCTCTTGACTTGACTTCCTTCAATTAGCTATGACTCAGGATAAATAAGCTAAACCCTGTCCTCCCCAAGTTGCTTTTGGTCATTGTGGTGGTTTGAATAAGAATGTTCCCCAATAGGCTTATAGATTGGAATGCTTGGTCATTAGAGATGGGGCTACTCGACAGGAAATAAAAAGTGTGGCCTTGGAGTAGGTGTGGCCTTTTTAGATGAAGTGTATCACTGGGGGGGTGGACTTTGAAGTTTCAAATGATCAGCCAGACCTCTCTCTCTCTGAAGATCTGGATACAGAACTCTCAACTACCTCCCTAGCGCCATGTCTGCCTGCAAGTCACCATGCTTCCTGCTATGATGATAATGAGCTGAGACTCTGAACTATAAGTCAGCCCTAAATTAAATACTTTCTTTTATAAGAATTATAGTCATGTTTTCCTCACACCAATAGTAACCGTAACTAAAACCATCATGATCTTTCATCCTATAATAATAACCCTAACTTAGACAAGCAATAAGTGCTCTTAATCAGTGAGCCAGCTCTACAAATCCTTGAGTGTATTTTATACCTTCAAGGCATCCATGTGTTTCTGCTCCTACATTCTGATTAAGAGGAGACATACAATTAATAAAGCTGCATATTGTATTACAATATGAAAGAATGTTACAGAGAATTATAAATTATATATATTAGACACAAAGTATCCAAATATTGCAACCTATAGTATTAGAGTTTGAAGGAAGTCCACAGAAAAGGAGTGTTGAGATTTCCTTCAAGGCACACAGAGTTCAGATCACAGGGGGTCTATAACGTTCACTAGGAGTTCCATATTTTAGCAAAAGAAGATAAAATAAAGTAATAGTTAAAAGAAAGAACCTACTTAATGATTTATAATTCAACAGAAAACTATTTCACCAAGTTTAATACGTAGCCCTTCCAGAACTGCGTGCTGTATGCAAAGCAAAGCACATTTAAAATTAAAAATCATTCCCTCCCATTAATGTATAAGTTCAGTGGAAGAAAGATAATGCTTGCCAGAAAGTAAACCATACACACATACATTAGTGTTTAATCTAGCAGTGAGATATAGAAAAGAAATTGGTAAATCAATGGCTTAGAGGCTGAAAATAACACATTAATCTTCATTCAATACTCATTCTACAAATGTGGTTTCATAAAGAGTTCTCAGT